ATATGCATTTTTTTTTATCGATAAGCTTTTTTTCTATATCGCCCAGCCCTAATATATATTCTATGAAATAGTGTTCTATCTAACTGGTCCTATAGTCACTCTATTACAGATGGAGTAATGTATCTAGGGCTGCAACAACGAATCGATAAAATCGATAAAAATCGACTTTTAAAAGCGTTGGCAACGAATTTCATCATCGATTAGTTGTGTCGCGCGATTAATGCGTCATCCGCCGCCGCCGTCATCACATCCACTTGACTGAAACGGGGGAAGAAGAAAAAATATGGCAGAGCGAGTCAGCGCCGCAGGTGCAGTGTTGCCAACTCAGCTACTTTTCAGACCCCTCCAGCGACTATTTTTCAAAAAAGCTACTAGCAACAAATCTGCGGCTTTTAGAGACTCTTACGTGAAAGCATATATCGTTCCTACTCTGCCGTGGGGCGCCTCCCCCATCCCAACCCCGTTCTCCCGCAGGAGTCCCTCTCAGCGCTGCAGTCAGAGGATGTTTACCCTCAGCGTCCAGACTGCAAATGAAGCGCGCATGCGCCGGGATTGACGGCGCAAATAGATCACAATAATAAAAATAGCCTGCGCTTTGTAAATTGAAAAAAGTCGTAACATGCAACTTTTGTAAAAACAAATTAACATGGCATGGAACCACCATGTTTATTTCGTTTTAAAGTGGGGAAACGTAACGTTAGTTTCTCAGGTAGCTCATCTGATGCTTTCCTTACTGTGTTAGTAGGTTACAGACAGTGATAAGGTTGGCTACTTATTTTACTTTTAATTTCATTTGAATTAGCTTAAGCAGCGTTTATATTTTCTTTATAAATAAATTAACTTGCAAATTATGAGGGCAAGGCTTTTAAAGTTTGAATCTTCTGGCAAAGATAAAGTAAAGAAGATCCTGCAATTTATGGAAGTAAAGCAGAATAAAATCCAGCAAGATCAGTAATATGTCAATTAATTATCTGCCACATTCCCATGTAAATATCTGTCTTTGGAGGATGTGTTTTTTAGCACCCCTAGTTCTCTCATTTTTATTCCAAATACAATTTATAATTTGAATCACAGGGCTATTTTTATCTGTATGGTTCAGTATTTTCTCCAGTAGCAACTTTAACTGCTATACTTTCCTGTCTTAAAAGGCAGAACTCTTCTAGTCTAAAAAAACTCATTTGTTGAAATGGTGGGGCCTATTGTTTGAACCCCTTAGGGGCTTTTAAAAACAAAAATGTCTTTTTTTGCGCTTTATGAAACAAAGTAGCCTATATTTTGTGGATGTACAGCTACATTTCTCATGTAAGATTGCGTAGTTTTAACACAAACATTTATTTTTCATATTGCACCAGTACAGTTAATGAGGAACCTGTACTTGTGTGCTTGTTTGTTCTGCCTGAAATGTTTATTTTGGAATAAAGAGGTTAATATAAAAAATATTTTTTGTCCGATTCATCGATTAATCGAAAAAATAATCGGCCGATTCATCGATTTTTAAAATGATCGTTAGTTGCAGCCCTAAATGTAATTAAAGTAATCCCTCCCTGGGGTTATTAAAGTATTTCTGATTCCTGGTTGATGGGACAGGTGTTGTGAATGAAACGGTGCCCAGCTTGAAAGAGCTCCTGTGTGTCGCTGAATGTGTGCATTGATGACTGAAAGACATCTTCTGCCTCCATTTATCTGTTTACTACAGTCTGTTGAATTCATGTTAATGTGGATTTAAAGACATTTCAATTACTGTAAAAAAAATGCAGGGGGGAATATTTAAAAAAAAGTCTAATCAACCAAAACTTTCGCAACCCCGATGCAGTACCTCCCTGGACCCCCTGTTGAAGACCTCCGGTTTAGTCAAATTTCATAATAAACATCGGTCTTCATAGTATATTTGTATGTCAGTGTGAGCAGGTAGATTGCCGTGTTGTGCTGAACTTGCATCATAAGCTGGAAACTCGCGGGGTACGTGTGAGCATGGGCGGTTCTAGACAGGGGCCAACAGGGGCCTGTGCCCCTGTAGCTCATGTCCTGGCCCCCATTATTGCCCCTGTACTGAAGACATAATACTGGATGTGCGCTGGAACAGACATGGTTACTGATAGGTAGTTCCTTTGGATCTATTTCTTTTCTTTTAATGTGTATTTTTATTTTTTTTTCTTACAAATTCTATTTTACTAATTATTTAAAAACAACAAGGCGATAGCTCCAGTGGTATTGAAATAGAATCCCAGTTTTCATCTGCTAAATGATTTTTTCAAAACAAAAAACAAAACTCATTTTTGCAGCTGAATTTATCAGTTTTTCCAGATTTGATAGAAAACATAATTTGTACTTAAATTAAGTCAAAAATATGTAAAATTCCTAAATTATGAATATATATTGACCTATAAGACATATCATTTTAATTAAACCTAATTGAATAAAAAAAATCTTTTCATGCAGCTCTCTTAATATATTTGCATCCCTTGCCCTGTTTTTTATTTCATGCTTTTCTGGGCCCCCATGAAAACAATGCTGGCCCCCTCCTGGCCCCCTGGTACATTTGGTCTAGAACCACCACTGCATGTGAGCTGAAGCTGACTAATGGTCTTTGGACCAGAGTCTTTGAAAAAGAAGCTGATGATGAGCGTGCAGGTGGCGCAGTGGTTAGCAAACACAGCCCATGTATGGAGGCCTTAGTCCTCGACACAGCCGATCCAGGTTTGAATCCTGCCTGCGGACCTTTGCCGCATGTCTCTCCCCCTCTATCACACCCCCTTTCCTGTCAGCCTACTGTCAAAAAAAATGAGCCACTAGTGCAGTAAAAACCCAAAAAAAGAAGCTGATAAGTCAGTCATTTTATTTGAATGGGATTAAATTGACCTCAGAAAATAAAGTTAAAATCTTGGTGTAATTGTTGATCAGAAACTGTCATTTAAATCCCATAACAAAGAGGTTTATAGAATTTCCTTCTTTCATCTGTGGAATATTGCAAAAAGTACAAGGGTTGATGCTGAGAAAATATCCATGCATTTGTTACTTCAAGGCTGGACTATTGTAATTATTTACTATCAGGAAGTCCACAAACTGTAGTTAAAAGCCTTCAGCTGATCCAAAATGCTGCAGCAAGAGTTCTGATTAAAATTAAAAAGAGAGATCATATCTCTCCTATCCTAGCTTCTCTTTATTGACTTCCTGTTAAATCCAGAATAGAATTTTAAATCCTCTTTTAGGCAGATCTTTATGTTATTAGGCTCCTCTCTACCAGTTTGTCTACTTTTAAAAGGTAGGCTTACAACTTTGATAAAGCTTAGAACGGCTCAGGTTAGTCTGAGCTATATCTATAGTTATGCTGTTATAGGCTTAGAATGCTTAACTGTTGATATAAGGTGAAATTTAGGATTTAATTAAAATATAAGCAATCTCAGATTTATTTTAACCCAAAGCAATACACTCACATGTGGAAAAACATGTCAAATTAAACGTAATATGAGAACCTTTCTTAACTCTTTAAAAGTGACCAAATGAAATGTAGGTGATGTGAGTGAGAGATCTCTTTAAATAATTCTGTTCACTGGATGACAGAAAGGATGTAGAGAGTGCATGGGTGTGATGGTTTTATGACATGAAGGCTCCAAGGTACAGAAACCTTGTCTGGTTTTACCCATTTCTCCGTACACCTGGTAATATCCATTCAAACACTAAGGGACGAAGACAGAACCAGAAATATGGTTACAGACAGAACGAGCTAAACACCACTGCTGGCCTTTGATAAGAAGACAAGCTCAGAAAGTTAGAAATGTCACTTTTAATGTCACCGACTAGCATCATTGAACAAAAAGCTTCTTTTTTATTTATTTATAAATTGTTATAACTTAAGAAACCTTTAAACAAATTTGATTCAATGCCCGTTTGGCTGTTGAGTCCTGATTAGTTGCTAGCTTCCTGTTTTTATTTCTTGTGCTTGATAAATGGACTGAAAGCTAGCGGTGCTAAAGCTAGCGGTGCATTATCAGCGCACACAATGCTTTCTACTAGCAGCAATTTCCATATATTCATAAAATATTCAAATATTAAAACCTGTGCAATGATCCAAACGATAAAATGAAATTCAAACATATCATGTTCCTATTTTAATAGCAAACCGTTAAAATAGCCAAGGAGACCATGCTTTTTTTTTTAGCTTAAGCTAACAATGAGCTGTAGCTAGCCGATGCGCAGGATTTGCATGGATAGATAAGCTATCTGAAATAGCCTCCCAGGAAATAAATTTTATTTTATTTATACATCAGAATGCAGTTTATAGAATAGAGACGCAAGTTAATAAAAAAAATGAAATTACCTCTCAGTCCTCCGAATATATCAACACAAAGACGGAACGGTTGCAGGTTATGCAAAACGCAGCTACGTGATTGGTGGATGGCAAAACGTTATGCAATGATACTCAAATGTGATTTGTTGTCGAAACCGTCGATTAAAACAAAGGCGGAGCCCCCTTGATCGAACTTCTGGTTCTTACCGTACAAATTAAATTCTTATTTTTCATATTTTTTTAAAATAGCCGATCTGAATTAAGTGTTTAGAGTTAAATTCTGAGATAATTAAGCTAATTCCTTTGAGATTTATGACTGTCAGATGAGACTGGACCATACGTGAATGCCCGGATTGTACGTCGACGTTTTCCGCCATATTGTGAGAGGCATAATGCTCTACAAGCCAGAAACTTACTGTGAGATCGGTTGGGATTTTGTGCCACATTAACGCAGAAACGTATTTTGTTCCTTTTTTGGACAAATATTTTACAAAAATTGTAAATAGAAATCTATGCAGTTTAATACCAAAGCTATTTGGCGCTGCTGTGTCTCTGTGATTTAGTGAAGACTGAACCAACTACGGCTGGTTGGTTCAACCGCTTTGATATTTATTTATCGATTATTTAACAAACATTTATTATTTGAATACATTTTGTGTCTTTGCGTCAATATGGCGGATGCTTGCTTTCCAGCGAGGCCTATGCGGTGTCAAATGAAAAAAGGGCAGGGCAGGAAGAATAGGAGGAGGGGAAGGAAGGGAGGGCAGGTAAAGGTGAGCTTTTACAGTACACCGCTCCTTAAACCCAGGAAAAGATCTGAGCGCCCTGTTGACTTCTTTGTTTGTCCATTTTTCTTAGCCGTCTACGTGTAAGTATAACCTTTAAATCTCGACATATCTCTATTCATGCGCATATTTTCTTTAGAAAGACAAATAATTGGCGGTGAGAAAGAGATTGGATTGAGAGATATGTTTACTTGGTTTGTTACTCGGTTTTTCTCAGTGTTGAAATGCGTAGAAGTTAAATATAAAATGTAGTAAGTTGATCAGTAGTAGATTAACATTAAATATCAATCAGATAATGACGTAATGAGAATCAGGAAGTCAAGAATCTTCAAAACTTTATCCATCTAATGTACATCAACCATTCGTTTCCACTATTATTCCTTACCATTGATAAAATGTAACCACTTAAAATAGAGTATACTGCTAACTTCAAGAGCACATGTGTTTATATATATATATATATATATATATATATATATATATATATATATATATATATATATATATATATATATATATTTATACTTAAAAAATCAATCCAACAGTATCAGGACGATGGTGAAAAACGAGCCGGAGAAGTCATCAGACCGGCCTGACAACACTGCCTTCACCCAGCAGAGGCTTCCAGCATGGCAGCCCATTCTCTCTGCAGGAATTGTTATTCCAGGGTTTGTCCTTATTGGGCTGGCATTTATCGGCGTTGGAGTTGCTCTCTTCATCACTTCAAGGGACATCCAGGTGCTGGAGGTAAGACAGGACCTTTGATATGAAGGAGTGAAGAATCAGACATTAGAAGAAACCGCGAGAAGCTAATGGAAATACTGTTGTTTCCAGTACTTAGATGAAAATAAAAGCAGTTCTTTTGGTCTGATCTTCTGTTACCGACTCAGTTTTCTCACTGCAGCTTGTAAAGTTTTTGATCTCTAAAAGAAAAATTTTTTTTCCATGTTTACCCCCCAAAACAGTTGGACTACACTGGTGTGGAATCAAGCAATCCCTGCTCTAAGTGCACTGACCCAAATGTCAGAAATTGCATTTGCACCATAGTGTTTTCCCTTGACACTCTGTTTAAGGTTAGACACAAACCGCACTTTGCAAGCAAAAAATGACGCTTTATTCTTTCCGCTGTCTATGACGGCTTTTATAATTTTTTATACATTTCTTTCTCTTACAGGGACCTGTCTTCATGTATTATGGCTTAACTAATTATTTCCAGAACCAAAGAAGGTATGGGGTTTCCAGAGACGATAATCAGTTGTATGGAGACCTGGATTACTTTAAAGTAAGATTGTATGCCCTTTATTTCTTTTTTTTATGTATAATTTTATTTTTTTTCCATCTGCTATTTTGAAGGCTTCCTCTTCTCCACTACAGGGCGTGTGGCAGATTGCAAATCAGACTTCTTATAGCTTTCATAGAACAATATCTGTCTTCTTCCCACTCTGCCTCAGAGGCCATTTTCATAGCTCTACAACCAGTTTTATTACATTTTTTTTTTTATAGATATACTAAATCTTAACCAAGATGTATTAATCCTCATAAATAAAATTTTTGTGTTTCTCCTGATAGAGTCCTGGTAGTGATTGTGCCCCCTTTGACTATGACGACAACAACAGACCAATCGTGCCCTGTGGAGCCTTGGCTAACAGCATGTTCAACGGTATGCTTGTACCGTAGGAAACATTTCCTACGATAATTTATAATGGTCTTTTGCTGACTTCAAATTCAGCGGCTGTGTCATCAGAAGGCCAAATTTGTCTGCCAATTAGGTCATAGCGCGGCGTAGAGGCCTGTTCGGATCGGAAGACAAATGAAGCCTTCTTTTTGCCCCGTTTCAAAGGACACGTACCAGATCTGCTCATGCCAGCGTCTGCGTGCAGAGTCAGAAGCATCTGTAGAGGTAGCTTGTCTAATAGCGCATTAAGTTTTACCTGATCGATAACAAAACTGCAAAAATATGTTTATGGTAGGGCTGAAACAATTAATCGTTTATTGAAAGAATCGTCAACCAATTTAGTAATCGATTAATCGTTAACTGGGGTGTAAGGCAAGGCAAGGCAAATTTATTTGTATATCACAATTCAGTACAAAGACAATGCAAAGTGCTTTACATGATTAAAATACAGGAAGATAAAACAGAATCAAAGCAAGTAGGAAAAAATAAAAAAAATAAAATAAAAAATGCAGAAACAAAAAAGAATATTAAAAACAGTTGGACTAAAGAAAATATGTTTCAGTTGAACTGTTTAACTAGAATAGTCGAAGGCAATCCTAAACAAATGTGTTTTTATTCTTGATTTAAAGGAACTCAGGCTTTCTGCACTTTTACAGTTTTCTGGAAGTTTGTTCCAGATAAGTGGAGCATAGGAACTAAATGCTGCTTCTCCATGTTTAGTTCTGGTTCTAGGTCTGCAGAACAGGCTGGAGCCAGAAGACCTGAGTGGTCTGGAGGGTTGATACACTGATAGCAAGTCTGTGATGTATTTAGGTGCTAAGCCATTCAGAGATTTATAGACTAACAGAAGTATTTTAAAGTCTATTCTCTGAGATACAGGGAGCCAGTGGAAGGACTTTAGAACCGGGGTGATGTGCTCTACTTTCTTAGTCTTAGTGAGGACACAGGCAGCAGCGTTCTGGATCAGCTGCAGCTGTCTGATCCACTTTTTAGGCAGACCTGTGAAAACACCGTTGCAGTAATCAATTTGACTAAAAATAAATGCATGGATTTGTTTTCCAGATCATGCTGAGACATTAGTCCTTTAATCCTGGAAATGTTCTTCAGGTGATAGAAAGCCGACCTTGTAATTGTCTTAGTGTAGAGACTCTAAAACGTGTCTTTAGCTGACAGAGCGACTCACTTAGAGCCACAATTAAAGCAAAATCATAAAATAAATATGTAAACATTTAAGATAAAAAATAAAATTGAATCCATCTCATAAAGTGAGTCCGATCTGAACATGATGACTTGAAGAGATGAATGGAGTCTGGTGTGCTATTGCTTGGTTGGAAAGAAAACCTGCATTCACACGGCCCTTTCTGGAACCGGTTTGACATCCCTGTCATAATGCTTTGTGAGGATCACTCTCCTCGCAAAGCATTCAGGGATATATCTGCTCCCCTACTGACCATGGACGATCACTATTTTTCAAGGTGCATTGTGGGAAATTCTAGTCCACTACTTTTTCATCCACTTGAGTTCAGTCACTCATCTAAAATGGCGTAACCTCTACAGGTGCTGGTCATAAAATTAGAATATCATGAAAAAGTAGATTGATTTCAGTAATTCCATTTAAAAAGTGAAACTTGTATATTATATTCATTAATTACATACAAACTCATATATTTCAGATGTTTATTTTGTTTAATTTTGATGATTACAAATGACAACAAATGAAAATCTCTAATTCATCATATCAGAAAATTAGAATATTGTGAAAAGGTTCAAAATTGATGGCCCCTGGTGCCACACTCTAATCAGCTAATTAACTCAAACCACCTGCAAAAGCCTTTAAATGGTCTTTCAGTCTAGTTCTATAGGCTACACAATCATGGGGAAGACTGCTGACTTGATAGTTGTCCAAAAGACGACCATCGACACCTTGCACAAGGAGGGCAAGACACAAAAGGTCATCGCTAAAGAGGCTGGCTGTTCACAGAGCTCAGTGTCCAAGCACATTAATAGAGAGGCGAAGGGAAGGAAAAGATGTGGTCGAAAAAAGTGTACAAGCAAGAGAGATAACCGCACCCTGGAGAGGATTGTGAAACAAAACCCATTCAAAAATGTGGGGGAGATTCACAAAGAGTGGACTGCAGCTGGAGTGAGTGCTTCAAGAACCACCACACACAGACGTATGAAAGACATGGGTTTCTGCTGTCGCATTCCTTGTGTCAAGCCACTCTTGAACCACAGACAGCGTCAGAAGCGTCTTGCCTGGGCTAAAGAGAAACCGGACTGGACTGCTGGTGAGTGGTCCAAAGTCATGTTCTCTGATGAAAGTAAATTTTGCATTTCCTTTGGAAATCAAGGTCCCAGAGTCTGGAGGAAAAGAAGAGAGGCACTTCATCCACGTTGCTTGAAGTCCAGTGTAAAGTTTCCACAGTCAGTGATGGTTTGGGGTGCCATGTCATCTGCTGGTGTTGGTCCATTGTGTTTTCTGAGGTCCAGGGTCAACGCAGCCACATACCAGGAAGTTTTAGAGCACTTCATGCTTCCTGCAGCTGACCAACTTTTTGGAGATGCAGATTTCATTTTCCAACAGGACTTGGCACCTGCACACAGTGCCAAAGCTACCAGTACCTGGTTGAAGGACCATGGTATCCCTGTTCTTAATTGGCCAGCAAACTCTCCTGACCTTAACCCCATAGAAAATCTATGGGGTATTGTGAAGAAGAAGATGCAATACACCAGACCCAACAATTCAGAAGAGCTAAAAGCCACTATTAGAGCAACCTGGGCTATCATAACACCTGAGCAGTGCCACAGACTGATCGACTCCATGCCACGCCGCATTGCTGCAGTAATACAGGCCAAAGGAGGCCCAACTAAATACTGAGTGCTGTACATGCTCATACTTTTCATGTTCATACTTTTCAGTTGGCCAACATTTCTATAAATCCTTTGTTTTTATTGGTCTTCAGTAATATTCTAATTTTCTGATATGATGAATTTGAGATTTTCATTTGTTGTCATTTGTAATCATCAAAATTAAACAAAATAAACATCTGAAATATATGAGTTTGTATGTAATGTATGAATATAATATACAAGTTTCACTTTTTAAATGGAATTACTGAAATCAATCTACTTTTTCATGATATTCTAATTTTATGACCAGCACCTGTATATAGTGCCCTATATAATGATTAGGGCGACATTCGGACACAGCCCATCATATAAAGGGGAGAGCTGGGTATCGCTGTGGCTAGCTGTGCTCAGTAGCTAACAGGTTAGCCTATTTTAGCTCAGTCAGCTAGCCATGTTAAACTGCATTACTTTTAACTTTGTTTGTTTTCTGCAAGTAGAATAACTTCTTCTCTCTGTCTAAAATCTCTGAGAATGTCTTTTTTTTAAGATGTTCCATTTATCCTTCCCTGTCCCCAGATCTTAATAAAAAGAACCAGAAGAAGCACTGAGACTTTTTGTTTCTCCTTCTTAAATGGCAGAACTCAGTCTGTCTTAGAAGGCAGTGCTTTCCGTCCAGACTGAGAATGATTGTTTTCTACTTTCGGCTACTTTAGATCGCAGATGAAATGTAAAATAATAGCAAACATAGGTAACAATATGTTGAGACTCCGGAGATACGGGGTGCATTACAGTTTGTTTGAATAGCATTGCCGTATGATGATGTCATGAGAATGGGCAGATCTGATACCTACACCACTGTATCCTATGTAGCCTTTGGTATCCCATGGTTCATTGCGAGTCCAACCAAACCGACTGCCTCTCGCTCGGAGGAAAAAGGGAAATGGCACCACAAAGTCGTGAATATTGTAAGTGCAGTTTATTTTAAAACAAGTGTGTGAATAGTTCCATATGAAATGAATGAAAATCGTCGTCTTAAATGGTTATTGAGTCAGATATGTGGTGAGTAATGGGACTATAAAATCCTCCTTGGGACTATAAAATGTTTCAAACTCCTCGAAAATATTATTAGCACCCAGGACAGCAGTGAGACATTCTGTATCCGTTCTTTGCCTGTTTTGTGTGTCAGCTATCACGGTTGCTAGGCAACAGAGTATACAGGCGAAGAAAGATGGACCTGTTTGAATCCAAAGCCAAAACTCTTCCAACCTGCTTGGTTTAACGGACCTTCTGGTAGACCCGGTCCTTGGAGGACGCAGCCTCTGAAATCCAACACACCCTTTGATGTATTTTGGTTTCCTAACTTCTTTTTTTCTGCTTTTTAAAAGACACCTTTAAGCTCTTTCGGAATGTCAACGGAGATAAAAAGCCAGTGCCCCTCGATGGAAAAGGGGTCGCTTGGTGGACCGACTACAATATCAAAAACCGGAATCCCAGCGTGAAACCGCTGAAGAACGCCTTCAATGGTAGAACTTTCCGTCTAATCACCTAAATAACGTTTTTCTTTTCACCTCTTATATTAATAGTGTTTATTTTCAGGAACTGTTAAGCCTATAAACTGGCAAAAGCCTGCTTATGAGCTGGACACAAACGATGAGTTTAACAACGGCTTCATCAACCAAGACTTCCTGGTCTGGATGAGGAGGGCAGCTCTTCCAGATTTCAGGAAGCTGTATCGACGAATCACAGATGATGAATACGAAAATGGTCTACCAGCTGGAAACTACTCTCTGGACATTTCCTACAGTATCCTTTTATATTGGTTATGGATTCTAGAAAGGTTTTTTTAAGGCTCAGATATATATATATATATATATATATATATATATATATATATATATATATATATATTTGAATTCTTAAAAAAAAAGTGGATTTGTTATTTTTCGCTCATCGGTTTTTAATAGGTTTAATCTCATATACTGCTACTAAGATATTCACTGAAAAAAAACCTATAAAAATAGGTTAAAAAATCAAAATAAGTGTATCTACCTTCAGTTTGAGGATAATTTGACATTATTCACTTGGAAAAAAGCTAATGGAGTTATTATTCCGTATTTTCATTATTCCATTTGCAGGGTGTTTTACCTATGTGCTGAAATAAAGGGAAATTACACGTACATTAATAAAACTATACTAGCTTATATTTAATGTTTGCAGTTTAGAAATAAGTTTAAGAGACCTCGCTATCTCTAATAAACAGCATACAAAAACTGATTTTTAAAAAAAATAAGTAAAATGAGTCTATATTCCCTTCATTTGAGCAGATAAATAAGATCACCTGCATATGGAATTAGTATTTTTGCTCTTAAATAAGATTATTAGATATTATGCACTATAAATAAGATGGATTTTTTTTTTTATTTTAAACATAGATCATCTTATTCCAGTTGGACAGGTGTCCTACTTACCAACTCAAATAATACCCTTATTTCAAGAAAAAAAGGCTTACAGATATATTTCAATGTTTGCAGCGTAGGATTGTCTTGTTTTACTGGTTGGGTAAGTTTTTTTTTTACCTCAGGATTTCCTTGAGGTGAACTCAGAACAGGCAAATAATCTTGGTCAGATAAACAAGCTAGGCAAATTCTGATTGTCATGCAGGGAGCCATGCAAATGACTCTATACTGCTTAAAGAGGCCAAACCCTCCCAGCTTGGATTATCTTGATAATCAGAATAAAAGTCACTGTTTTATCTCCCTCCAAGATCTAAGTAGTGGTGCTCTACAGCTCAATGAAGTGATTAAGGGAAGTTTTAGGTCATGTTTTGACTCCATAAATCACTTTTTTCCCACCTTAAATTGTAACCATTAAAAATGTGGACGTTAAAAGAAAAGTCCAATAGCTTGGTTTCACGTGACGTCACAGTGCTGCGTCGCGAGCCCGCGAAACTCAGATGGAGGGCAGGAAGTGAAGTAGCTGAGGATCTGCCGTCTGACATAATGCCTATGTTTTGTGTAGTTTACGGCTGCTCCAATCGTTCTAACCGAGAAAAGGAAAAGAGGTTAATTAATTTTAAAGGAAAAATTACGGTCAGCAAAGAATAATCAGTGGATCATTATCTATACCGAAAAGTAATACGTTTGCAGTGATTTAATGAATTTAGCGTTAATCAGTAAAAAAAACATTTTTTTAATATTTTTCATTGCAATCTCTGAGTCTGGGAGTGGCCATTTTTGCCCAAGTATAGTAGCCCCTCCCTCCTGCCATCTTCCAGCAGTGACGTTACGGTGTGGTAAGCCTAGCGCCATTCTCCCCGCTTTCCAAGCTAAATCAATGGGAACTACTAGACACATCTGCAATCAACAACAATTATTGAAGATTTCCAGAGGACTTCGCCATTGAAATTCACCAGAGCTATAGTGAAACTGACAACGCCCACGTGCATGGCAGCTGGATGCTGGAATACATCGGGTAAAAGTGAAAAAAATAGTTATTCCACCTTTCTGATTCCTGATCCTCCACGGACGGGTTGGTCGTTGGATCGCCAACTTGAAGAGGGAGGATTTGCCATCGAACTTCTGGCCAGAGAAAAAACACGTAATATGTAGCCAACATTTGGAAGAAGAATGTTTTCAAGATGACTTGGATAATAGCGTGTTGTGACAAACACCAGATACAGCACTGGGACTTGATCAACAGCCGATACCGCACCGTGACGTCACTAACCAGCAGAGATGGCAAAAGTACTCACTTTCCGTAGTTGAGTAAAAGTACAGATACTTGTGTTAAAAAATACTCTGGTAAAAGTGGAAGTACTGATTAAACTTCTTTACTCAAGTAAAAGTAACAAAGTACAGGCTTGTAAATTTACTTAAAGTATAAAAGTAAAAGTAGAAACCACTTTTTTCATGCCGTTGCCTACATTTTAAATGGATGTCTGTCAATAGGACTAGATCTCCGTTGTGTTCATTTTCAATCATCTCGTCGTCCATGCTACTATGCTAACGCCACCGCCACCAAGCTGCAATGATTTGCCGCCAATGAATACCGCCGAATCTGTCGATTCATCTTGTAGTGGTGCGTCAAATGCAACGTAGATTCCCATCCAATTAGATTGAATTTGGTATTGATGACGTGAAAAATAATAACGGTGACTCCATTGAAATGATTCAAAACTAAAGTAACGAGCCAATTTTTTAACATGTAAGGAGTAGAAAGTACAGATATTTGTGTAAAAATGTAAGGAGTAGAAGTAAAAAGTCGCCATAAAAATAAGTAGGAAAGTAAAAATATCAGAGAAATCTACTTGAGTACAGTAACAAAGTATTTGTACTTCGTTACTTCCCATCTCTGCAAACCAGTAGGTGGCAGTAGTGTTCTTTGACAAACATGGATGCCTCCAGTAAAGCACATTCACATGAAAATTATTCTGAATTAAAAACAATTATAATTTACTGAACAGGATGGAATAATTTCATATTTAAAGCAGTTTCAGAAGTTTGAATTCTGAATGTGACCAGACTTTTCCTTTAAAAGTAGAAGGCCTTATTTGAACCACTGTTTGTGTATAAAAGATGTTTACATAAGGTAAGAGCGCTAGCTTTTTTGTTTTTGTTGCTGCCAAATACTCACGCATTTATTTAAATATTTCCCCAAAGAAAGGTAAGAGAAAACAAATAATCTTTTTTTTTTGTCATTTTCTGTCCAAATGCTGTCGTTATTTTGGATAGAGTTTTACTTCGAAAAAAATCTACTTATCATATTTTGGAGATTTCTATGCATTCCAGCTGAAGAATATGTTTTTGTTATATTATAAAGTGTTTGGAGTTCCAAACCTGATGTATAACCTTAACATTTTTCCCTAAGACTATCACGTTGTGAGCTTCAACGGCAGGAAGAAGGTGGTGCTCAGCAACGTGTCTTGGATGGGAGGAAAGAACGACTTCCTGGGCATTGCTTACCTCGTAGTGGGTTCCCTGTGCATCGTCATGTCCATCGTTATGCTCATCGTTTACGCAAAGTTCAAGTTCCCAGAAGACGACTGAGCAGCTTTAAAAGGCAGCTTCCGGCTCACTGGTATCAGATGTAGTATCAGAATGACCTCTGAACTAAAACTGCAATGTTTATTTCAGGATTTTTGAGTTTTCTTTTGTTATCTTTGTTTTTTCATTATAGCTTATTTTATCTCCAGAGTTTGAGCTGCTTCCTCCTGGGAGGTCAGTTATCTTAAAGCCATATTTCTTTATGAAAATCCAGTTAAAACTTATTATGTTGTTACCTTTAGGTAGTTTTCATGGAGATGTTGTAAAAACTGTAAATATTTCCATCTTACTCAGGGAAATGGTGTGAAAGCTATCCTTATGTTTTCTGGTACTCAAAGATTTTGTCTTAACTTTTAGTATTCCTTGAAACGGTTGACGTTATCTTGATATTTATTGAATAAAACAACAAGATCTTATTTAGTTCCTTTGTGTCTTATTAATGCTTTTACTCTCAACGTTTAGATGTCATACTTCTCAGAAGTTGTAGGATTTCTTTTAAATTACAATATTGTTTTTAGAAATGTTTATGGTAGCTCAAAACAAGGCAGGAGTGAACCTAATGCATATTGCTCTCATTGCACAGCTGAAATTATCTTTACTTTCTAATACTTACATTTAAAAACAGACTCATTAGTTTTGTTTAAAAACTAATGAGTTTAAACCTATTTTCAATATGGCCTGTTGGTATTAAACATTTTTTTAAAACCATCAAAATAATGAGTTTCATCCAGACAACAAATTTCTTTGTGATTGGACTCGGTGCTGCCCCAACTTGTTGCTCGCCACATACCAAAATAAATAGTTTTTCCAGATGGTGCAAAGTTAAATTTGTTACCATTAGCTATAAAACTAAAAAAATGAAGTCTAAGGAAGTTATCATCCAGAATTGTAAAAAAAAAAAATGTCCATTAATAGGGTAGAGCAGTAAAGCTTCTGTCCTCAACATATTTTCCTGCATTACTTTTTAATATTTTAAGTAGTTTTAAAAATGGTAATTTTACGATTTAATTGAGTTAAAAACTGAAGTTTGGTACTCTAACATCTAGTGTTTTTAAACACTAGGATTTATACCTCTACTTGAGTAATAAACATGAATATTTTGACACCTCTGAATTACATCCTTACATGATTTATGTAATTACAGTTATTACATATTATGTAATTAATTGTCTTTAATATTTATTACAATTCATGCTGTATTTTCCATATGCACACTTCCTCCAAAGATCATTACAACTTCTACGATTGTTTTAATTTTTTCTACAAATAATTAAAAATATTTACTGTTTTTATCCAGAGGATGATTTTATACTTTAGAGGATCTCCTGAATGATGCTTATTTTCCTTTTTCTAATCGAGTTTTAATTTGCATATTTTCTGAGCTTGTGTCTCAAGTTTCATCATGGAAACTTTACAACAACAAAGATTCTTTATCATTCTCCATAAATATTAACACCCCTTACAAGAAATTATCCTTGTTTTTGCAAACGTTTTGATTTTATGAAATACCACAACAAAATTCTAATAGAAAATATTCAGTGACAGTGCCAGCTGGGCGCTAGGGGGCGCTATAGATGTAAAAGATATATCACCCCCTAAGAAAAATGTAAATACTGTATTATTTGAAATGAAATTACTTTAACATATAGTTATTATTAGATTTTCTTCAATTCTAGTTCCTTTTGATTTATTATTATATTAGTTATTATTAAAATCCACTGTACATTAAAAAAAATTCTATGCAAGGAAATATAGCATATAAACATTAACTCTTCTGTAGATGTATTCACTATACATTTTTAAACAAAAACAACTTGTAATTGATTTAATTATTTAAAATGTAAAAAATAATGTGCAACTGTTTAGCCTCAAGTGCTGTTTTTCAAAGGTGATTAATTTAAGGGTTACCTGTGGAGGGGGGCCTAATTACCATTAGGCAATACTAGGCAGTTGCTTAGGGCCCCAAATTCCTGGGGGCCCCATAAAACTCTTTACATGTGCGGTTAATACAACTATTCCTGCATTATCATTAATTATGTTTTTGATAAAAATCCTTTGGCTAAAATGCCATCAGAACGCTGATAATATTAAGTGTGTCTCAGCCCCCCCCTTCAGTGTCCACCATATTGGATCAGTCCATTTGCTGCACATGTTCAGAAAGGTCCAAACAGACAGCAGCAAACCATTTGAAAACAAACCATGCAAAGAGCAGTGTTGCCAACTTAGCGCTTTAGTCGCTATATTTAGCCACTTTTCAGACCCCTCTAGCACTTTGATTTATAAAAAGCTCCTAGCGCCAAATCTAGAGACTTTTTTCTGCTACTGGAGACTTTGGAGACAACATCTAAAAGCAGCCGCCTCCTGCTCTCCTCTATCTTGTCTGCTGTCATGATTCATGCAGCTATTATTTCATCCAAATGAAAAATGGAGAACAGATAAGCAGATCATGGCTTGTCTACAGTGAAAAGAAGGACTGGGTTATTTACTTTGGCCTTTTTGGAAACACAGGAAGGAGCAATCAGCTAAGTGAGCTTAGTGCTTGGAAAAAATCTTTCATTCCTTTAGAGACAGCATGAAAAGTCAGCTGAGTACAAAACATAGAGAGGAAAACAAGAAGAAAAGGGACAAGAAGAGAGGGACACAACCTAGAACAGATAATGGATGTCTATTCTATTAACATTTCTCTAACTGAAGAATGGCTCTGTTTTATGTGTTGGCTTCTAGATTCAGAGGGCCCCCTGCCTGTCTTTGCCTAGGGCCCCACATTTCCTGTTAATTGAATGTAACACTTTATATACTCGACTATACTCCATATATGTGGGTTTTTTTTGTTTTTTTTTGGCATTAGTGGCTTGTTTTTTTGGACAGTAGTCTGACAGGAAAGGAGGTATGAGAGAGGGGGAGAGACATGCAGCAAAGCTCAGCTGCGTGGAGGACTAAGTCCTCCATACATGGGTCGTCCGCACTAACCACTGCGCCACCTGCACACCCCCATATATGTGTTTTTATATGTTTTCATTTAACAGCAGAACACCACACTCATTTTCCACTATTGATGACTCTTTTTAAGAGTATAGTTCACACCTCTGTTTTAGTTTGTAAATGTGTGCATTAAAAATGTAGGAACAAGGTGAAGTGGTGTTTTTTTTTTACCAAGCCAAAGAGTCAATTAAAGTTCTATTAAGCCACTAATAAGACACTGGGGTCAAGTTTCTGTATGCAGGCAAAAGAAGGTTCCATGTCCAAACTTGTTAATTGATCTGGATGATTTATTTTCTATTTCAGCCAACATTTACAGAATTCAAACTTTGCTTTTGTTCTTTCTGCTGCCTCTATTGCTTTGGTAAACAAAACATAGCCCCAAACCCCCAAAATGGCTGCTGGTCCTTTCCAAGGACCCCACACTTATAGAAGGTGGACTGATCCACATTACTTCCTGTCTTACCTCAGAACAGAAAAAAAAGAAAAATAACAAAACAAAGATAAATAGAATCAACAATTATTCACCTTCAGATAAACTCTGTAAATAATACAAAAAATATTAATTTAGGAATAAACTAACACAATTCAAATGGATAAAGAATAAATAGCTCCAACACAAGGGATGCTTCATAACGGCCTCATTCAATGCTCAGCCACCATTAAGCACCTGCAGGGAAGTCTTTGCAGCTGCCTCTGAAAATATTCACCAAAAGCTGGAAATCGTCTCATCTCAAAAGGCCATATGACATTTGAGAACCAGTTTCATTTAAAGACAAACGTGGCTGTTGTTGGGTTTAAATCCAGAGAAATGTGAGTTTAAAAGATTAAGAGGACGAAATGATCAAACACAGACAGGGATTTGGAAACATCAACCTCTGCACAGGGGAGAGAAGCTGCAGGCTCAAACCAGCACACTTTCTCACAGATCCCTTCACAGCAAAGCCTTTTATTAACAGTTTACAACATAATAGGGCGGGCCTTAAACAGAAAACCCAGTAATGATTATCTGGCAGGATGCAGGTCATAGGACAGAGTGAAATGACCATCTGGCTGGATGGAAGTCACACAACCGTGAGACTCTGCCTCATGACCTACTGGATGCAGGTCATAAAAGTTTATGACCCTCCTGATTGAATCACAGGACAGAAATGTAGCATAATTTCTTAAATGTTTCATATGTCCACACAATAATTTTATAATTATCACTCTAACAGCTGTTAACAATGGCGGCTAAGGTTACTGGCTTGAGAGCGTTATTTATCATATTACTCATTAGCATAATTTTAGAGATGATAAATGTAAGGGACAAAAACCAAATGGCAGATTTATAAACAGATACGGTTTTAGTAAAGCGTAGATCGCTGGAAATGGTTAAATATTTGCAGGGCTGTCAACTCTCACCCATTGGGAGGGAGACTCACCCATCTCAGTGTCTTCACACACTCTCACTCCATATTACCAATTTCTCACACTTTCTCACACACAGACATTTTTTTTTTTTTTTTATTTATCCTTTATTTAACCAAAATTACATCACATCACTACATGCGTACAAAGACACACACATAAAAGCCAAATATGCACTTATAATAAAATTTCAATTAAAACATTGACATGTGAGGGAGTCCAACTCAAAGCATCTCATTCTCAGCTTAAAAGTATTCAAAGGAATCAATTTACTAAGATTAAAGTTATTTTGCAGCAAATTCCATGTAAAGGGAGCAGAGTAAGCAAGGACCTTTTTACCCAGCTCAGTACTGACATGTGGGACAGAAAACAAGACAACAGCCTGCGAACGGAGAGAGTGACCAGTACTTTTTTTCATAGGAAGTGAACATAAATAAGATGGAAGCGCACCAAGAATAGCCTTATATATAAATATATACCAATGAAAAAGCCTCCGTGTAGCCAAGGCAGACCACCCTACACGAGAATACAGCTCACAGTAATGGGTGCGAGCTTTACAATTAGTAATAAATCACAATGATGCTGATAGGCTGCATCAATCATCTGCAGGCATTGAGCAGATGAATGCATATATAATATATCACCATAGTCCAGCACAGTTAAAAAAGTGGATGCCACCAACTGTTTTTTTACATTAAAAGAAAAGCACAGCTTATTTCGAAAGTAAAAAACCCAATTTTAGTCTCAACTTTCTCACTAGACAGTGAATATGAGGCTTAAATGATAGGTGGTCATCAATAACAATACCAAGATACTTATAAGTCGTAACAATCTGTATTTAAACTCTACTTATTTATTTATAAAAATACCAGTCTTTAATACAACCTTAGTGGTAACACATGAGGACATGCCAGGTTCAGATCCAGTCCATATTCCCACCTATTCACTGTGTCAGATATTGAAAAAAGACAGTTGTTATGAGGCATGTCATTTTAGTTTTGATCTTATCCCATCTGGACAATAGATAATTC